TTCTAATTTCATTAATTTGTAACACATCAGTAAAATACAGATGCATACTGCCTTCCAGCTACAGTATCACTGGGAACCACTTCAGAATTATGCCTGTTTCATTCAGAGTCATTTTGATAACAGTTTGAGCTAATTCATAATGTTATAACACTATGTTATCTGTCTACTCGATTTTTTGTAATGTTTTTGAAGTTGATAAAAGAGCTATAAAGGTTGTCTGTCTATTCCCCGAGAGAAATGTTTTAACATACATTGTTCTTTTTATTTTGGAAACAGGCAATTGATGCTTCAAAGAGCGTAGAGGATTTGCACAATGAAATTAAGTCTGTTGCAGAGGAGACCATGCAGAAGGCTCAGAATAAACCAATAGGAGAGCTCTGGAAATAGGCTTGGGTTCTCTCTCCACTCCTTCCCATAGAATGAATCTCTGGATACCTTGCTCCAGGTCTCAGGAAAGGGGAAACATCCTATTTCAGTCTTCTTCAGCTGGATGACTCTATTGTATTGTCTCATACTAGCTGTGGTATAGGTCACAGAGTGATGTTTTACAGATCTGAGATGTGATGCTGGAGTCCTTGTTTTACCCATTTCTTCTTTCTATATTACATCTTACAAGCCCTCCTCCTAATGTGTTTCCTTGTGAACCAGTTCTTGGGCTGGTATGATGCTGACCAAAAAAAAAAACATTAAACAAGAAGGATTTTTCCGCACTCGACATTGCAGAGAATTGCCATGTTCCTGAGTCCTGTGCCCACTGGACTTCTAATAATTTATATCATTTTCTATCCCACTCCTAAAACTCCCCTATGTAGAAATTTTGCTAATAAGTGCATTTTTAGTTTCCCTCTTCCCCCTCCCCTTTTTCTCGCTATGACTACATGGAATATTTATATCCAACAGGCTGGTTTAAAAGCCCACTGTGTGAGAAAGGAAAGTTGGTCCAGTGGGTCAGGTTTCAGGACCATGTGGGACCTTAGTTCAGTAACCTGCTTTGTGGTAGACTGTATGTGGCCTGGGACAAGTCAGTCAGTCTCTATGGATCTCAGTCCCTCAGCTCTTGTGTGGGAGTGATACAGAGGAGTGTTGTGAGGATAAACTCATGAAATACCCTTACCTTAGGGAGAGGAGAGGGCTGCCTAAGAACCTGCCACAGACTCCACTGGTTTAGAGGAGAACTGGTTTGAAAGGTGAGTTGCACAATGCAAACACCCATTTTAAAGAAATTCTAGATACACATCTAGGACTAGTCAGTAGGCCTGAGATGGTGCTCTTGTTTTCCAACCCCTGCTGTCCAACTTCTGGACCTTTCTCAGTGTCCAGCGCCCGAGCACATATTACTATATCGAGCCTACAGGGAGTGATGTTTCTGGCCTGTTGCCTCTTGGGTTCTTGCATCAAGTAAGAAATAGCAGCTAGGAGTCTTGATTCCATGTAAAATTCAGGTGTTGGCAGGATTTTGGTTTCTGTATTTATGGGTCCTTGTAAAATAGTTTCTTGGGCAAAGTTGGCTTCTTTTATTTATGCTGCATTTTTAGTACATCATGGTTCCCTTTTTTGATTGAATGGTTGTGATGATAAAGCTTGAAAAGAGCTCATTTTTTATGAAGGGGAATATAGCGCCTAACCATGATTCTCTGTCACCTCAGCTATCAAATGATTCTTTTTGCTTCAGAAAAACAAGGGTTGAATAGCTTCTCAGCCCAGCGGCCACAGAAATTTAGCTGGGAGTATCTGAAGTTTAGGTGAGACTCTATTTCCTTGATGCAAAATAAGGGGGAGGGGAGAGGAAATCAGGCAAACCTCTGCTTTTATTGGTAATATTTCTGTAAGTGTGAAGGCAAATCCATCTTCCCTTTGATATTCACCTTACATTACTATTGGGAAACTATAGTAAAACACGTTTTCTACCTTTAAAAGTTTAGTATTGAGAGGTATTGGCAATGATGTTGCTATGGTTCCAGGGCCTCGGGAGAGCATAGTTCACTTCCCAGCCTTTCGGTAAACGCCTTGAATTCAGGCTAGCTGCTTCATTGATCTCTGCCTCAGTTACCAATCTGCAAAATAAGAACACTACTTTCTCCCTGGGCTTTTGGGAGGTCAAGACTCATAGCCAGGAAGAATCAATTCACATGGTGAAGGGGCTCCATTAACACCCAGATATGCATTGTTTTGTAGTGACAAGTGAAGAATGTTAAATATGCTAAAATAAAGGCTTAATAATAAAAAGTGTATCTATTGTCTGTCTGTCATGGCCAAATGTGACGTGATCAAGGTGCAGAATTCTTGGACACCTTAAAGAGGATGTACAGCTGATTTCAGGATAGGGCCAGGTTGACATCTTTATTTCACAAAGTGTGAGAATGTCAGGGGTAGTACTAGCCCCTGCAGGTTTCTGTGGTATGAGAAACTTACTGCCAAAATGCATACTTGCACTCTTGCTGCCATGAATTAAAAGCCCTCTGGTAGCAGTTCTCAATCTTTTGAGACTTAAAGACACTCCTTAGAAAATTGAAGCTTGTTTGTTTTCTCTTATTTTTACGACAGAAAAATAATAAAAGCAATTTTCTATTGCAGAGAACTTGGACTACAGCAGGTCAAAACACTTTTAATACTATAGATTCCCATTTGAAAATGGTTTAACTTGTGAATCAAGTTTGCATACTGAACAGGGCTTGACATTGCATGGCAATCAGCAGCACCCTTGACAGTATAGCAAAGCATCCAGGGTCTTGTGGCACCCTGCTTAAGACTCATTGCCCTACAGAAAAAGGGCTGGGCATTGAATAGACTATATGCACAGTAAACCAGCTAAGAAAAAAGCTTCACAACCCTCTGATTTCTAGGAGTCTCTTTGTACTCATCATACACAATTCAGACATTCAATTCCTAGGTTGACAGAGTACACTGCTAAAATGGGAGGTCCAGCTAGTGATTGGTGACAACACAGGCAAGTGTTCATCATTACTGCTTTTAGGATTCTGGCTCTTCTCCCAAAGAGACAGGGGAGGGGGGGCACTTTGTGCCACAGGCTTTATTGTACATTCAGGTCCTGTGCTGGGAGCGTGTTGGTCAGCACTCTAGGTGCTGCTCATGCTGAAGGTCATGCTCTGCTTACAAACAATCCAGGTGCTTGTTGTTTTTTTTTTAATGTAGTGGTAGACAGTTCAGTTTGCCTCTACCTTGTTTTCTTGTTAGAAGCCCAGGACTCACCCTCATATTCTTGTAGGAGTGGGAAGCATGCAGTGACTGGATTTAGCACTTTGGCTATGGAAGGTGTAACCTGTTTTTAAATGCTGTACAGCAAGTGGTTCCACATGCACACACTGCTGTCTCCTTGCCAGTTACTGGAACCTTTTAAGGGAAGTGTAAGGAAAATGCTGTACTGCCTTCAACAGGATGGGGCATTCAAACTATAGGCTTACACTCTCTATTCCAGGAACCTGTTTCAGTTATGCCCAAGTACAGTTCTGAGAAACCCTTGTCTGCATGCAATGGCTCCAAGGAGCATGCACCACCTTAGCCACCCAAAGCAGGTGGGCTTGAACTGCCTCAGGAGTGTTCCATACTGTGATGTGAGCCCCCCTCTGGCCAGAGAGAAAAGCAAAATGTGCTTTATCCTTTGCTAGTAACACAGGACAACTCCTTGGAAGCAATAACTAGGGAAAAACAGAGGGGAAAAAAACATCCAAAGATTTTAAATCAGTTTATTCAGATACAAATTGAAAGCAGGAGATGAATGGAGCGCAGCCCCACTTTCTCAGCTGCCTCCTCCCCTTCCCAGCTACAACTGATGCAAGAAAGAAGCAGAGGAACAGCAAGAGAGAAAGCAGCAAGTAATAATTTAGTGAGAGAAGCGTGGTGGTTCAGAGGTGAAACCTCTGTTCCGGCAGCCTAGGGGCAGGCAGGTGGTATACCATGAGTAGGTCAGCCAGGGATGAAATGATCACTCGTAGCCAGATGTCACTCCTTTTAGGGCACAAAAAGCATACTGATTGCTATTCCTAAATGCAGAACATGGGGGCTTTGTGAGCACACATTTGCCCCCTGCAAAGGAAGATGACTTGACAGACTTTGTGGTGGCCAGCATTAAGATAGAGGCCTTCCACACACCTGGTTTCCATCTGGGGTTTATTTGCTGTGTAGAGATATTAAGATCCATAAGGACAGCCCAGGTAAAGCTGTGAATTTAACATTGCTAAGGTTCCCAGTACTGCTGTGATGACCTTTAGTTAAACACAAGCCTTTTATAAGGCACCCAATTTTTTACTAACATCTTGGGATGGATTTCTCTGGACTAGGTAGTACAGTACACACTCTGGAAAAAGGGCTACCTTCTAGAGAAGCTGCAGAATAGCAAGTGAAACAGTACCAGTCAGCTAAAAAAAAAAAAAAAAAAAAAATCTACTTAAGCTTCATGCTCCCTTGTATATCATTTTGGACAGGAAGAGAAACAGTGGTGTCGCAAGGAATGACCAAGCTACACTGGCTGCATCAGCATTTTTTAGCCCTCGGGTTTTCATGGTGCACAGGGAAACACTGTGCCTACACCATGCAGCAGCGATGTTTACAAGAAGGCAGACACATCTTTACTAGAAAGGAACTTGGCAGCTTCCTACTTGTCCTGTTCTGTCTTACCCTTTTTACTTAAAAGCAGCTACCAGGCTCTCAAGATTTATTATCAGAGACAACCAAGTCTTTCCCTGGCCCGAGGTGTTCACCTCTGCTCAGAAGCAGAAGCCTTAATAAAAGACACCATTACTATACTTGTTTATCCATCATAGAGCCTCAGCATTCAAGTTACTCAGTGAGAACATGTACCCTTCCAGAGAAACTTCCCTCTTCTTTTATTCAGCGCGAGACTTTTCCTATCCTCCTTTTGTCACCTTCAGACGTTGGTGGTAACTACAAGGTTTAGTGCCTGTGCAGTTACTAGCCATGTAACAGACTGCCTTACCCAGGCTGGTTCTGGGCACAAGCAACATCAGGTCTGTGAGAAAGCACTGCACAGGTCGTGAAGCCTGAGCAGCAGCAGCAATGACATACTACCACAGGTCCAGTTCATGTTCTACTGGGCATCTGAAGTGGTTGCAGGGGAGATGTCTGCCATTAATTCACAAAGCAAAGCTTGTTCCCAGGCAGCCAGAACCTGAGGAGCTGTGGAGGAACCAACTCTAGGTTTCTGCAAGCCAAACAAGGGGCAAGCTGTGATTGAGGAGTGTGTGTAAAAGGACCTAGCTCTTGTAGAACTGGCTGACCTGCTGATGTAACAGAAAAGCCTCTAAACCCCTAGGCAGCACTGCATCCACTTCCTGTGCGTGTTTTGTGCTGAGGAATCCCAACTCCAGGCTATAAGGCCTTTGTAACAACTTTGTTCTTGATCCCAATGCAGAGAACGGGCGGGCACCCTGCTCAGAGGCAGCACAGAATGCTGGGATGGATGGGAGCCAGGGATGGCAGCAAGCACCTATGAAAACCGGTAGCCCCAGACTCTTGAAGGAGCTTCCCTCCCCCCACTCCGCCCCGCACACAACACAGATTTGCAGAGTCCGCTTCCTACAAGCGTTCAGAGAGACAAGATTTCAAAGTCTTCATCTTCTGAATCGAAGAATCTTTCCAATCTGTCAGCGTCGGAGGAGTCTGCAAGGACAAGAGAAAGTTTGGCCATGTCAGTTGCCTATTTCACAATGACATATTTACACTGTGGGTGTCACTAGCCAACACATCCCAGAGGCAGCACAATGAAGTGAGGGTCCTGAGGTGGAACACAGCATGCTTGAGTTTATGAAGAAAGCTCAGCTCCATGTCACTAATACTGGGAGATGCTCTTTCCCCCCAGGACTGGATTGTACAACACATTTTATCATATTTTATCATATTAGCACCTTTGATTCAACATGAGAAGAGGGCAACAAAAGCAATGCCACCCCCAAAAGACTCTTCACTCAGCTGACATCACCTCCACGAGGAAGCTAGCACTGATGCCATCTCATGCTCCCTCTGGTTTGTAGGGTGCAGGCCACTGGGGAGTGCTCATCCCAGAGGCACTGGCAACAGAAAATGCATGGCTCCATGATGCACATTTTTTACCACCACAGAAGGCTGCAAGCCTGGAGTTGACCAAAGGAGAGCTCAGTGGGAGCCAGGGGAGAGATCTGGGGCAGAACACAGATCCTGGGGAGACCAACGCTAGCTAAAGCTGTAAGAAGAAACATGGCTTAGATTTACGAGAACAACCACCAATTACAGCAGTGGTTCTTAACCTTGTCAGACTCAAGGTATCCTTCAGAAAATGCCGGCTCTTAATTTTCACTGTTTTTGATGACAAATTATTAGAGCAACTATTCTGTTGCAAAGAACTCAGAAAAATCATGACAGGTCTGAGTGCTTTCGATACTATGGATTCCTACCTGAAATCTGGCTTTACCTTGTGAATCATGTGTTGTTGGTTGAACGCCTAATACTGCTAATAGTCCATAGCATCCTGCAGCATCTGGGCTGAGAATCACTGAACTGGAGAAATACTAAATGACAGTAGCTGACTGCAAGGCAGGGATGGACAAGGCAAGTCACATAAGAACTGGATGGGCACGGAGCTGTAGCTCTGGTCATGATTTTGCTACACTCCAGTTCCTTGAGGCAGTGGGTGACAAAGCCCAACAGTTACTGCTTTGGAATATTCTTAAATTTGATTTCAGGGGTTCACACAGGCCAAAAGCATTAATCTAGATGAGATGCTTCGGAGGGAACCTCATTCCACCGATGTGATGGGGAGGGGGGAAAGAAACCAACAGTAAAAGGAAGATGAGGACAGAAGTGAGACTGAATTAGTGACATGCAGTCTGTTCTAGTGAGCAGAAAACTGAACCATGGGATGGCAAGGATCAGCCAGATCAAGTGAGGGGGAGAGAATTAGAAAATAACCAGCCCATTAGAACACTAGAGAGAGGAACCAGATGGGAAAGAGAAACAGTAAGAGAGGACTGAGAAAAGGACAAGGGCTAGAGTGTGAGATAAAGCTGTGATAAAGAGAGAAGAGCTATTAGCAGAGGTACAGATGAGAGTGTGGGGCACATTTAACGGGACACAGCCCGACTGGCAAGAAAGGAGGTTTGTCCACCATACTCACTCCACTTAGCAGAAGCTGTCAATGGCTCTTTAACCCCTGCAATGTTCATGCACATGATTAACACAACAAATGGGCATTGGGAGCAGAAAAACTGCTTGGC